CCCAGGTGTGCCAAGTCCTGTGAAAGTGTGAAGGTGCAGTGTCAAAACTATGTAAGTATCAGGGTCAAGCTCCTTCTCCGCAAAAGAATTGATCTTCATCTTATGGATTGGAAGCCCCATCATCAATAGGATCTCACGGCCTCGGCTTGCAGGACAGTGCAGCGGTATGATAAATATTCTGAGAGGCCTGAGTTGGAAGTGACATGAAGTGAATGCTGTTCAATTGTCCAAGTGACCAGTGAGGAACCTTTGCTGATCAAGAACAAAGTACTTTCCACACGGCCTTGGCGGATACCACAATGGTTTTGTTTGTCTTCATGCATTCATAGCAAGTTCCTTTTGAGTGCCACCATGCGCTTATGTTAGGCACTGTTCACACTCAGGATCGAGCGTGAGGGTCATCAACGGGTTGCCATCCACGACATATGGCATTCGCCCCAAAGTCTGCGAAGTGTTGATCGCAGCAACAGGCCCATGATGTTTGATCATCAGGTCAAGCGCCTTTGTGGCAGGCAACAAATTCTGAGATTATGTGTTAATCTCAAATTAAAAAAAAAACTCCCCCAAAGCCTGGAGTTCACGGGCTGGGCCAATCTGAGAAGCCCCTTCTGGGCAAAGCTTTTTGAAGCTTCCAGCAGCTTTGGTGACCTGAAACATAAACTAGTCTCCAATTCAATGTATTGGTACAGATGATTGCAATTAATTGGGTTTAAGGAACCTTGTTCTTCTTTGCCCACTCCTTGTGGACAAGAGGCCACTTCTTGTCTTGCCTAAGGGGGAAGACAGCCAGTCTGTTCAACCATGCAAAAGTTCGATTCTGGGTCAAGCGATGGTGTGTTATAGGATTGCAAGGTGCTTTGAGGACGATGAGCCTTTCCGTCGCTTATTCAACCGTTGCCTCATGGCCATATCCCTTCTCACAGCCCAATGATCTTTGGGCAGCATGAGATCTTTCCTGAACTCAACGTACTACATGTTCAAGTTGAAATTGTTGGCCTCACATTTTCCGATATGTAAAGATTTAATGAGACATGATTCCAATCGATGGCGGTGTTTGAACATGCAAGAGCATCGATCGAGTCGTCAAGGAATCCATCAAAGTCCTCAGCTGCAGCCTTGATCATGAGCTCGGAGCGGATGAACAGAATAAAGAGCCGCGGACGGGACATGGGCGCCCCAAAATGATTCCTGGGTTTGGGGCAGGGGAGGGCGCAACCACCAATGCTAAATAGTTCGAAACATCGACCAACAATCCAAGCTGCGGATCAATTTCTGTAACAGCGATTGTATACCTTCAGTATGGGCCGGTGTTGCAATGACTCGCAATTCTAATATATATAGTAGTATATTTAATATATGTTCAATCAAATGTCGACATTTAGCTAAAGCACTTTGGAAGCTGGGCTTTCATCTTGTCGATCACGGTGTCCAGCACAGATTTCAGGCCCGTCACATTTTCCAGGAACCCCATCTGGGCCAAGGAACAAATCGTGTGAAGGCTTCGCATTGGTAGAGGTTGGGCTTGTCAACACAATGCGAAACGGCTATCCAATAGACTGACACTAAATGAATCATAATAAAACGAGTTGCACATGGCTGCGATTCTTTCAAGCCATTGAGAATGGCAAACAGCTGCTTTGCATTCTCATCTTCAAGCCGCTTCAGGGATCCCAGCAGGGAATAAGGAGTGCAGGGAAAGCCTGCTGTGTAAAAGGCAACCTTGGATCTTGTTGAAGAATGCCACTGAGCTATTTGCTTACTACACCCTGCTGCACACAATCTGTTCGCCCAGTCACTGCCTTCCAAAACCTCTTTTTGGAATCCTTGAGGACTGAATTTCCCTGCCTTAGCTAGTTGTAGAATCAGTAGTGTCACCAAAACTAAACATTGTGTTCATGGTTCATTTGAGATATAATCAAAGGCACTGCTCTGGCCGCTCATGGTTCATCGCCAAAAAACTTTTGGCCTTCTTGTTGATCTCGGTGTTGTGCCTTAGCGGTGCAAAGAAATACACAGTGCCCAAATCTGACCCACTGAGCATTTTGCCCTTCAAATAATAAGTGTGCCAGGTTACATGTACTTGATACTGCCACTATGTTCTCCAAACAGCTCCTTGAGGGCAAAAAGCGGAGCATCGATGCCACTGCCTTGGGGAATTGCGAATCACGTAGGGCTGCGTTTGCGAGAAGCACCCTATTTGGGCCCAAGTAAAGCCAAAGCGCAGTCACTGCCATAGGTGAACTTCTTCTTGGACCATTGAGATATAAACCATTGCAAGCCTGAAGAAAACCGGCACCAAACTTAGTTGGTCTACATAAAAAAAGGGAGCAAACCAACGAAAGCTGCGAGTGGCAACTGCGTTCCACAAAGTAATGCCCGCATTCCAAGAAAATGCGCTGCTCTATGTTGAGGTCCTAGTCGACACAACATAAATATATAAGGAACATATAGTAACAAATGACAGGAGGTGCTCCTCTTCCTCGCTTTCGGAATCAGAGCTGACATATCGCCATGGCATAGTGGCAACAATCGCGTGAACACCCCCCGCAAAAAGCCACAATGTCTGCAAGACCACAGCGAGCGACATCATCGCAAACACACCACAAACGTAAGACCCACTTCTCTTTTGGAAAAGACCCGGTCCATACCGGAAGCGCATTTATACAACATTGAAATCGGGGGCGCGGGGGTGGTGATCTAGCATGTAGTTTAGGGGATTAATTAATTTGTCCATCTACTGTAGGACTGAGAGCGGCAACATGCCTTCTAGCTTTATCTACAACATCTTCAAATTTCAGAGCTCAACTCAAAACATCTCAAAACTTAAAACGTCTTAAAACCGTCTTTCAGTCTTTCACCAAAAGATCCAGACAATCCATGTGCCCTCTCGACAACAAACATGAGTTGGTGGAACTTTCGCTTGCGGGCGAAATGATCGTATCGCCCTGTTGTAGCTGCATGTCCCACAATGAGTACCACAAACTCCTGGCCAAATCCTTCAAACGGGACCCCCGTGTTGCGCCACACGCTCTTTTTCCCCGACAGTCTGCTAAGACTCCGAGTTTCACCACTGAACGGAGGAAGCACCCGGTGCCTAAATCATCGGCAGAGCTGGCCACAAATCACAGGGGCCAAGAAGCAATCGGGGCAGGACTGGTCGTTTGTCTCCGGATCGTCTGTCTGATCCGACCGTCGATCACGTCCATCTGTGGTCACTGGCTTTCTGCCATATAAACCACCCACATGGAGTTGAAAGTTCGATCGGTTCACCTTGATTTTGGCATGAGTAATTCACCATGAGTCACAAATCAAGGATCATCATACGGTTACCACTTTACATCTTGCACACTAATTGTTGAATAAATCATAATATATCTGTCTAAGTTCCCTATACCCCATTTCAGTGTTTCTTATCTTTTCTATGATACTATATGGTACAAGGCTGTTGTTGCAGTCAAGAATATGTCCAAAGACACCACCCCCATGCATCAATTTTTGTATATATTAGAGCCTGCAAAATTCACATTTGCTTTCCAGTGGGGGCAGTCTTAGGCGACGTTCAAACAAAAACAAGACAACAAGCAGTTAAAGTGTTTGTTAGTTTTTGTCACTTCTGCGTCATTTTGGTGTCATGTTTTCTGTGGCGAACGTGCTGCATCTTTCTGCGGCATGTTTTCGGCGAGCCGGAAAATAAAAGACATCTTTTCAGGGTCCAGGCATATATATACTTATTGTATATATTTGGAAAGATACACATAAGATCCTAGATTGGGGCCATAGTGTGCAAGGTCCCACCTTTCCATCTGCAAAAGCTCTCAACACGCCCCCCTAAGACCTGCAATCCAAGTCGACAAATGATCTGCTGTTTAAAATGCTTAAAGGATTAGATTGGTTGGATGCAGCTTGTGGTACCAGCAAGATAGGAACAATTACCCAAACCTTCCACCATGATTTGGCTTTGAAGGTGTTTAGAGTTCCAGATTCAACTTCCAACTCCGTCGCAAAATCCTTGAATTCGGAAAAGTTGTACAGTATGCAAGTGGGTCCCTGTCCTGCCTATTCACTGTTTGGACTGTAGAGGGACCGTTTTTGCAGAAAAAGCCTTGCTAGACCTGCTGTCTGCAGCTTGGTGCCCTGCAACGGCTGCCTTCCCAGCAAGGACTCACACAACGGCAACCAGCCATGACTCTTACGGTTTGTGGAATGGAGACTCGATCACAACGCAACCAAAAGGTTCTGCGCTGGCGAAGGCATCAGAGATGCTGGTGGTTCTCCTTTAAAATCATGCAAGGGCACTATCCAGACAAGCCTATTTCCGCATGAATTGAACCTGTCGCTCTCTAAGCAAAGATGGGCGAACCCAATACGGGCGACAGGGCCAAACGTCAAAAAGCGTGGCGCAGTAGCCACGCTGAATGTTTTTTCCTGACTTTACCAATACGACCATTCGCCCAATGAATCTCATATAGATTCGTTAAATCTACATGTTGATGTTGCACAACAAATCCAGACATCAATCTAGCTCTTAGGGCCTTAATCTCTTTTGAACATCGTATGCTTTTCATGCTTTTTCGCTTCTCCCCCAAAGAAGTCTATGATGTCTTGGGCTTGAACTGATCTCTTGGAGGAAAAAAGCAGTTCTTTGCAAGGTCGATGAACTTTTGATGGTCGATGTGACGTTTCAACCCCGGGGCACTGTTACTGGAGATCTGATAGTGATGTTTTTTTGGTTTGAACAGGTCATTATGCAATTGCTTTTGTATGCTTTTGTGGGCATTTCCAAATGAATTGGCCGCTCAGGGTAATAAATCCATTCTTGCAGATTGATTGTTGCTGCACCCTAATCACTTCCCGACAATGTCTGCCAGGGAGGTGCTCCAAGGCGCAAATCCTGTGAGTGTGGAGCAAGCAATGCCAATCCAATGAGAGTCGATCTCAGTGACCTTTAGATCGATGTTACCGGGGTTTCTGCCCCAGACGGATGACCTTGGATGATCGATGACGGATGACGGATGACAAATGTTGCTCCAGCCCGCAATTGGTACGAGAATGTCTCTATCGCAATCGCAGGCAAACGCTCCTATGTCGACTTAGAAGCAACACTGGCCACAAAGAGAACCTCCAGATTTGTCACCGGAGAGTCAAAAGTGTGGGCCCTCAGATCTTCTCCCATTTCAAGTTGGCAATAATCTCAGTCACCGTCGGTGCCTCTGCACGTCGCGGTGAAAAACACTCATTCGAAAACAAACTGAGAATCTGATAGGATCTTTGACCAATCTGAATCTATTGAACTTTCCAAAGAGATCAAAAATTCAATCAGTCAGGAGTCAGAACGTCGTTTTCAAAGGAAAGAACAACAATGTGCAGCGAATCCACGACTGATGGAAACCGGTATCGACTTGCCAGGACTTGTGAAAGAGCGCCTCCACGCCAGCAGCCTCCATGCGCCGGCACAACTTGGCAGCAGCCTGCAATTTCCGCTCCATTTCGAGCGTGGTGTCACCGCGGAAGGGAGCGTCATGTCACCAGTGATTTCCGCTTCGTCAATCGGTCGGCCACACCTATAGCTATAAGTACTTGGGGGGTTCACCAAAACTGATGACGAAGACAGGAAGGCTGATGGCCTTCCGTCGGTTTTGAGATGTTGAGGGTGGAAAAGAGGATGCATGACAATGTGCATCTGTCACTGTCAGACGTCTCCCAAAAGCTCCCAAAGTGCGCATAAAGTATATATACTGGATCTGATGGGTTTTGAGTCTTGAGGCCGCCAAGCTCACAAAAAAGATCAAAAAAGGAGGATCGAAGTGGAGAACATCCTTGACTTTCTGCGATTCCAACGACGAGATCTTAACAGGATCCCACTTCTTCAAAGCATCCATCACCACTTCTTCAGGCTGCCCGCGAAACGGCAGCCTTTTCTCGAAATGCTCTTTTCGACCCATCAGTGGCACGGTCGTCCGGTACCATCGATCAGGTCGATCGAACAAACGTCCGTGCGCATGATGGTCGTGTGATGGTCGTCCGTTCCCAGGTTTTGATCGACTCGATCCTTAAGGAAGTTCAAACAGATTTGGACTCAAGATGTATGTTTATATAGCAAATTACAGTAATGCAAATTATAGCAACTACTCCTGGATCAATACTTTGGGCCATGCCATAGTAAAGAGACTCAAAGCGCTCTTGCTTGGAAGAACAAGGCTTCACTCACAACTATCTGCATGATCGATTACAGCATCACAGCTGGAACGCCTCAGACAAACTCCCTAATGTAGACTCTCGATTCAAAAAGAAAACACAACCCGGGATTGAAAAGCCATGAAACGCATCTTAAATTCATGAGGGGTTAATGAATCAAAACGAAATCCCCAGAAGTCGCTGGCAAAGCCAAGGCAGAACTGTCCAAGGGTCTGCCCAGCGGACTCTGCCTGCTTCTGCTTCTTGCGGCGTCGATTCTCTCCCGGAGGGCATAGGTGGCAGAACTGGCATTTGTATCCGGCCCTTAGACAGGTGGAGACAGGTGCGGGATGCTAACTTCTGGGTTGCATTTCCCCTTGTATACTATGCCTGTGAAGGACGCATGGAGAGCCCGAAACTTCTTGACTTGAAAAAGCAGGAGTTGCGAAGATGTCAACATACTGGCAAACAGTGAACAGTATCATCTTCCTGCAGCCCGAACCTGCAGCTGGTACGGTGTTGGAAGTCGCAGGGCTTGCAAATGCCCAGGGCATGCGTCGCTGAACCGAGAGACGGCCAAGGCGGCGTCTGCGGGGCGTCCTGGCGTCGTTCGCCAGGGCCAGGATGACGGTAGGGGGCTTTTCGTGCAGCTGTGACATCTGACAGTCAGGATGTAAAAACAATTGCAGGAAAAAAAACACAAATCTGAAGGTGGTGTGTAGTGTTTCACACAAAAGGTGCACACATTGCTTCCGTTTTTTCGCACAGGATGCTGAAGGAAAAAAGGAAACACAACTCTGCACAAGTAAACACAGCACGACTGAACAGCTACAGCAGGTCTGTGAGCAGCCTCCAAGGAACCACAGGAGAAAGCCCACATCAAAACGACAAAAGTGTTCCATGCCTATACTGCCTATACGCCTCGTATCTACGAATCCCTGTATAGAAGTGTTGGCCAAGTATGTCAATCCCTAGAGTCGTCAAAGATCTATAAAAAGAAAGCTTCACATGCATGGTTTTGTATTCTGAAATAGTAAAACCACCCGTGAAATGACCGGTGGTTGTAGGCCAAGAACCTCGCGCCTCCGGAACCATTTGCTCGAGGTGCAGTTGGATGGGAACCTTGAGCGCGAGCAAACCAGCGAAATGGAACCCAAGAAGAATCAAAGACTGGTCAAACCTGCGAAGCACTTTTGCCTTTACTTAGACAGACATTTAAATGACATGCCACCCAGACAGAATGCAAGTTCTTCAAGGAAGTGTTCCACACTGATCGGGATTCTCCCAGCTCAAACTCCCCCGGCACAACTGCAACCGCAGCCTTTGCAGCAGAGGCAATCGATTGTAAGACCTGCGGCAAAATTGCATCCGAATATATCCGAATCCTTTCACTGGGAACTTGCTTGGAACAAAGAGATACCAAATCCCAGCTAAACATAGCACCAAAGCAAGTGTATGTTCTTCACAAAGCATTGCAGTACGGCTGTTGGGCAGTTGTTTCGCAAAGCTTTGGAGGTGCTTTGTTCCTCCATCAAATGGCTTGGATTCTGGGGTTTGTTCAACTGAGGGCAGCCAGCAAATGCTTGTCCAACTCCAAAGCTGAACGAAGCCTGGCCAGGATTGTAGGATGATGCGGGTGAGGATGGTGCCGTACTGTCTGTGCTCGTGGTACAGCCGTCCTCTGGATCCTGGCGACAGCAATGGATACATTTGTGAAAAAAAATGATCGCTTCCATGCTCCAAAAGGGTCTCACCAAGTCAGACCAAGCTCCAACAGGTCCCACCAAGTCCCTGCCGTCCCTGGCGTCCGAAGAAGACAGTCCCTTACGGCCTTCCCAGTCCCCAGCCTTGGCATCGCCCAGCGTCAAATTGTAAGACATAGGGCATGGACCTCCCAAGTTGGACCCTGCCCACATGTTGCGTTTCGGATGAGTTCACGTGTTCGCTTTCGCTTGTTTTAGTCATTTTTATGCATACGTGTTGTGGGGAAATAATGAAGACAGAGGGTTCCCCAAGTAAAGCCTGAAAATCAATGATGAAGGCAAACGTGAAAGTATAATCCCAAGTAAAGCTTGACAAATCTTGAAATATATATACATATCAAACCACTGAAGTCTCAAGAAGTCCCGTATATCGTCAGGCAGGTCTGTCAGGAAGTCCCTTACGGTCAAGGGATTCCTTCGAAGAACAAACAAAAGATCTATGAACCACGACATGTCTTGACTACATGTAGAGACAGAACAAACGACATTTTGATGACATTCCTAATTGTCTTTGCGATTTTTGTATATAATCAAAACTGCTTGGCACTATTATGTATGATTATGTATGTATATATTGTCATGATTGAACATTTGGGTCAAACATCACCCTAATCCATGGTAGGTTGATCTCCCTGGTCAACCCTTCAATCCTGGACATGGGATTTGGGACAGGTAGTTCCTATCCTTTTTCCCCAGATGGCGAAGCTATGGGGTTCTTAGTTCAAACAACAATGAGTTGCCCGCGCGCGCTTTCGAGACAGGTTGCTGGTGCTGGGTGCCGGTGCTGGCGCTGGTGCTGTGAGCTGGCTGTGCACGTGGTGGAGACAGGTTGCTGCTGCCGGTGCTGGTGCTGTGAGCTGGCTGCGCGCGTGGTCCCTGAGTTGCATTGGGTTTTTTCTGGCCCAAGTGCCTTCACCGGCTTTGTCACCTGAATTATGTAAAACTTAGTAACTTCTGTCGTCCAAGGGTCGTCTTCTGCGCGGTGGATGAAATCATCGTCAGTTGTGTTCAGCTGTTGGAACAACTTCGCCCCAAGAAACACAATTTGATTGACAATGTTGTGCTTGAGGCGTTTTCCACCAAAATACATCTATTCTTCAATAAGTGCAAATAAATGAGCAAAAATGTTTAAAAATGTGAAAATATGATTAAAAATATGGAAAATTGATAAAAACATGTGAAAAAGTAAGAAATATGAAATTTCTGCTGATGCATGCGACCCTGCTCTGATCTAATCCTACTCTGATCTAGGTAGTTAATTTTTTCTAGTTAATTAGCGCTGTGGGGTATTTACACTCTTCAGGTTCTGTTTTGGCCGACAGCTGTGTCAAGGGCTGTACTGTTTGCGCCCATACATATTTTGCACGTACAATGTTCTATGCGCAACGTCAGGCTCTCAACCGACCATTGTTTCAGCATGTTTCAGCATGCTACATACACAACATACACAATACTGCTTGACCTTGGGCGAGTGAAGCCTACGGGCTTTGCCGTTTGTGCGCATACTTTTGTGCGCGTAAACTTATGCGCGCAAGATCATACGGCCTTGTCGTTCTGCAGATCGTTGCTTCAAGCATGCTACAAAGTCAATAGTGGCGCTGGATACTGCTTGGCCTTGGGCCAATGACTCTTATGGGCTTTGCTGTTAGTGCGCATACTTTTGTGCGTATAAACTTATGCGCGCAAGATCATACGTTGTTATTCCCCAAGTAGGGATAGCTATGAGGTCTTGCTGCAAATAAGAATGAGCTGGCTGCGAGCGCTTTCGAAAGGGTGTCGGGGCTGGTGCTGGTGTTGTGGTCCTGGGTGCTGGTGCTGTGAGCTGGCTGAGCGCGCGTTTAAGACGGGCGGCGGCGCTGGTCGGGCGCTGGCGCCGCTGCCGGTGTTGTCAGCTGGCAAAGCGCACCCGTGCTGGTGTCAGCTGATTGTGCGCGCTGTGGAGGCGCCGTAAGCTGGCTGTGCAGGCTGCGTACTGTTTTGCTCCAGCCAGTCGCATGTCAACAGGTCGTGGGATTCTGCCTGGCTATCTGGGTCTATGCTGGTGTAATTTGATAGTTTGGAAGTGTTTGACTGAAACTTAGGGAATTCGATAGGCTTGGAAAAGGCTCGGGTTTTGGGGCAACTGCTAGCTGTTCAAAGGCCTTTCTTCTTTCATTTGTTGCTTCTGGCCTCTTCCCTTTCTTTGTTTTTGTTTCCAAATTGTCCTTTCATAACGTTTTAATTCGTTGTCCTTCTTCCTGTCAATACAATTTATGTTTTGTCATGGTGATATTTGTTCAAGTGAAAAAGCAAGTGTAAAGAAAACAAGAAGTATCTTATATTATATGTGTCTTATATAAACGCAAAACTAAAAAATACTAGCACAAAGGCTAAAACAGCAAACAATGTGAAGTCCGGGGTCTAAAGGATCCAAGGAGGTTGAAAGAGCTCTCCAAAAAGGCTATCATTGGAGAGCTTAAGGAGGTCACTGGACGTGACTGTGAGCCACTGGACGTTTAAGTCATGGAATTCGGGAGACCTGAACAAGGTGGCGAGCCAGATCTGCGGACCCGGCCAAAGGATTCCAGTCCGGGCGGGGGTCGAAAGCACTGTGATACCTCGGGACACGAGAGGGAGTGGCTTCCCTGTTTGGTCAGGCAGGATTTGTAGAATCAGGCCCTCATCGAGGGGTCAACGAGTAAGCATCACAAAGAAAAAAATCAGTGGAGTCTCAGCGGATTCCGTGATTGTTCGAGGCATGTCCACATGCCAGGACCGTGCAATAACCCCCACAGCACCGGAATAAGGAAGGAATGAGGGGAGGATGAGTGTGCACAAGTCTTCCTATCTTGTCTGACAAGCTTGAAAGATCTACAGCTCCACATAGTTCCAGCAAGCCAGGGTTCATTCTTTGTTTGTGAGCCATTGGGCCTCATGTATGCCCAGAAGTGCACTATTGTATTTAGCCAGCCCTGTCTCATGTAGTGCACGTTGCATTCAACTAGATCATGTGAATATTCAGATTCCGAATGCCTTGATCACTGCAAACCTCATGGGACACTATAGGACTATATGATTAAGGTGTATTAAGCTAATCATTAAGCATCATCTTCCAGTGAACACCACTCGAACTCTCCTGGATGTCCAGTCCGAAAGAACCCTCCGTCACCGACGAAAGGACCACCTCCGAGCCGAGTGACATCGACCTGAAGCATCATCCTGGTCGAAGCCAAACCTGCAGAGGTCCGAGATCGGTCGAATCAGGGGAGATGAGAGGGGAGATGGTGGAGATGGGCCGTTGGGTGGGAAGAAGTGGTGGAGTGAGTCGAAGACGTGCTTTTCAGGGAGAGGTATAGATGAAAAGTGACACTGAAGAGAGAAATGACATGAAACATCAGGAAAGCAGCCCGTGTACTGACTGCTAAAACCTGCTCGGCATCTCGGTGGAGATGCACCCAATGCATGCTCCACGGTTCTCGAGCCGTGTTACAGAGGTCTCCGTACACTTGTAGGCTTGTAGTACCAAAAAACCAGCTAAATCTGCTTGGAACATCTAGTTTCAAGAGGCAGTTAATGTGGCTCTGGGTCCTGGCACCAGGATACCTTGCGCAAGATCTACCAACGATACGGCGAACGCGATACGGCTGGCTCACGACCATGGCTCCGGGTGGCTCACGACCCCATCCGGATCTTTCAGGCACAAATCCAGCACAAAATAGCACAAACCCCGAAACGTCCCAGGAGGATCCCATCACACATGTCCCACCCGTGAGGAAAAAAACCCATGGAAACACCATGGTCCACACAGGTCCGATCCCATCACTCCCAGGTCCCACCTTGCACAACCACACCTTGTGAACACTTCACAAGTTCACAAGCTTCTGCGAATAAAATGCTGCGGAAGATATGTTCTGCACATGCCCAAACTGACGCAAAGAATCGCAAAGATATCCCATGATACTCTCCCAGATATCTCCTCAACAGCTCCCAGATATCCCAAAGATCTTCTGGTAGGCAGTTTCTTTTCATTTAAACTCGTGAAAAAAAACACCACTTCAGGTCGACCTGCCTTTGGATCCGTGAGGTTTACGTCAACTCGCGCGCGGCACTTTCGTGAAATCTCTCGGTCCAAGAGGAAGAACGAGTAGTAACAGGTGCATCGCTAGTAGTAACAAGTGCCTTACTAGTAGTAACAAGAAGCTAGTAGTAACAGGTGCATCGCTAGTAGTAACAGGTGCTTCCAAACGGTGGATGGCATGGTCTCGAGTTCGGATGAAATCAGCGTAAAACAGGTGGTGGGTGTCCACTTCCATGGGTGATTGAAAAACTATGGGTTCACCGCCAATTCCAAGCAATACGCATTCCAAATCAGGCAGGACGCACCCCTTTCTGCAGTCGGCAGCTACGTCGACACAAGTGACCAAATGTCCCAACATGACTCTGAATGAGCTGACCTAGCGACCTTCAGGCCGTTCTGTTGAGCAGCTCGCCCGTTTGATTGACGGGCGTGAGCATCGGCCTGTTGGGATTGTCTGAGTTGAGCATCGGCAATAGCAGCGATGCCCTTTGCTCCTAGTAGCTTCTTGCTCCTAGTCGTAAGGCCAGGAGCCCCTAGTAGCGTCCTTGCTCCTAGTAGCGATGCCCTTTGCTCCTATGACACGTTTCTTTAAAACATTTGGTGCATGTGGCGTTTTTGCGGTCTGCCATGCGGAGCAATGGTGCATCACATCCTCTTAAAGAAACATAACTACTGTGCTTTGCAGCTTTGGCAAGAAAGCGGAACTCTCCCCCTCTCAAAATATCAAAACATATTGCAAGGTCCTGCTGTCATTGATCTTGCCTACGTGATACCGTCCAGACACTCAAATGCATTTCAATACACAGCTTTAAGCAGCAGCAAGCCCTAACAAAAAGAGGAAGCTTCCTCAGCACACATAGGAACACAACAGCTTCAAAGGTTTCTGCAGCAGAAAGCTTTTCATATCTAAGTTCAATCCAAACCTATCAGGCAAAGTACTATAGTACTATTTGCTCTCATCGAAGGATGTAACTGCCCACACAAGGTGCTTGGAAACTTTGTCGGCATTATTTATTCACGAATGCCAACAGCATGGTTGCTCCCAACTCTTTGTCGGCATCTGGTCATGCATTATTGGTCATCATTCACGAAAGCCAACAGCATTCTTGCTCCCTTACTCCAGAGTCCAAGAGTCCTTATCTTGTCACAAGGCTGCCTATTTACATGAATGCATTGAAGGATCGTATAACTTCTCGGGGGCGTCAACAGCGTAACATGTTGCACAGGAGCTCGTCAACCTCGTGTGTTTGAAGGGCAACGCCAGAGATGGAACTCCGATAGCACTATCCTCCTTCACACCGAGGCCTGAATTGTGTGGGATTGCGAAGGAGCATTCGTTGTGTCTGGGAACCCTGTCTGTGAGCACTTCAAAACAGCCTTCGAAAGGTTTGGAGGCCGGGCGGTTCGTTTGGATCGCTGGGGAGGTGAGGATCTGGCGGGTTTTCCGCCGTCTTCCTTCAACGTTACAAGTTCTTCAAGTATCGATCTTTTACACAAAGTCAAGCGTGTTCCTCTCCTCCATTTTAGCCTTAGCCAAGGCCCGAATCTGCGGCAGTTCCCAGTCGCTCGTTGTCGTCCAGAAAGCCGCAATAGCCATTTAACAGGGTAAGTCCTTGCTCCGTTCGTAGCGATGCCAGGAGCGCCGTTCGTAGTGTCCGAACGTAAGGCCAGGAGAAGTATTCCCTCTTTTTCTTGCCAAAATCACGTTAGTTTTCATCCGGGACCACCTCAAGGCGATCACGCGAAGCGAGTTTGAAAGGCTAGCGAAGCGTGTGACACATCTTGGATCTGTGACACATTGTTGAGAATTGATGATTGGATTCTTCTTTTGCCATTCCTTTTTGACACAGTTTTGTGGCTTCTGCTTTCACTTTTGCCCGCTCTTTTCTGCCCAGGCCCGCGCTCTCACTATTGGATTGCAAGTTGTGCGTGCACTTGCAATGGTCCTAAGTGGTGCTTGTTTGCCACACCGCTGCGGAGCAACCTCATGCTGTCTGCAACGTCTCTGAAGGAATGCTCAGTTATATAATCTTGATCCACCCTACGGTCAACACCCTGTAGCTGCTATAGCTAAACATAGCAAGGCATTGCCACTGACCGTTCTGGCGAAGGCAAGCTCTGTGCTGGCAATAGTCAATCAACGTTCTATGCAGTTCAACCAGAATGTATGGTTTACAAGCGCATCAATGGACCCGGCCAGAAACAAGGAGGCCCCCCTTCTCCGTAGAATGAAAGATGCACAACGCCCATGGTGCGCAAATACCCGACGTTCGGAAGCACAACTGATCCAATTTCTCTTCTATCATGTCTATCAAAGTGCACCACACGCAATCTCAGAAGATGTCATGTTCGCTTCCATCCAGAACTGGTCCACAAGCCATATATGCAGGTGGATGCCTGGGTTGACCATGGATCATTGGCTTGAGGGTCCAGCTTGAAGCTCTCCGTCCGAAGACAAGCTCTTCCATGCAGGACAGGACTTCGACGAGAAGGCGGCGCAACTTGCTTGCTGTGACTGGTCCCATAGAAGAGAATGCCTTTGGTTTCTTTTGCTTGGTATGCCTGAGGTGTCTGACTCTAGATTCTATATAGATCTTTTCGACATTTATTTGTCACATAAAGCTTCTGCTTTTGTTGGGAGCTGGCCAGGAATTGAGTTTGCATTGAAACAGAAACAACAAAATGACGGGCTCAGCATGTTCTTACTATTTCCGTTAAGTCTGTGGGTTCCAGGCAGTGTGTGAAAGAATGTCGAAGATATGTCAGCTATCATCATTGGCAAACAAAAACAATGATATCGGGTCTCCTATTGTGCCCCATCTGTGTGAAGGGATCACTTCATGCTGGGGTCTAGAACCCTGCATGAGCGGTCATGTTTCCTCTTGCCACTTGGGATAGGGAGCTCTGGCTTTCGCCATATGGAAGCATGCGCGCCGGTTCTACTTGCGACTTCTTCCTGACTCAAAGACAGAAAAGTATGAACCGAAGCATGAAGGCATGAAGCACTCCTTTCGACTCTTGGAATCTGTATAGCCAGTCAACCTCGCTTCAGTTGCAAGCACGATACAGCAGGATGTACAAAGTTTGATGACATCCAAGTCGCAAGTGATTGATGATCTGCAAGGTCTAAAGTAGCAGCTACAAGCTAGAATCAAATCCAATGCTTGGACCACAGCAAGTGGTTGTCAATGTCCAGAACCTATTTTGCATGTGTTGGTCAACACCCTTTCTCCCTCAAGATGCCTAACTCTGCTTTGCAGGGTACAAACAGGTCCCTGCAAAAGAAGGCTGCTCACTCGCACACCAAGAAGCAAATTCGGCTGTCACTTCGGCTAAATCGATCCTCTCTTGTACCACAGCCACTGCCAGGCCTCATCTGCGGTGTTTCAAGCATATGAGACAAGCACCTAAGAATATATTGGGATGCAAACTATTTGCTGGCCTGACGTGCATCTGGCATTGTATGTGATTCAAGACATATGTCCTTAGTCTTCAATGAGGCTAACCAATCACAGAAAGTACACGTACACCTATCTAAGAAAGTCATACTTGACAGGGACTTTAGATCAGATTATATAAGTGCTCTGGGGGACAACAGCAAAGGTCTAGACTATTCCAACCAACTTCTTTGCAGCGACTTGCAATGAGTAATGCCTAAATCCAAATCAATGACGTGCCACACAATGGAAGCAACATGCAGCTCATGACTCCGCCTCTGCCGAAAGTGGAGCGCAAGCGCTTCCTGCTGGAAACTGCTTTGCCTTGCATGCAATGTTGCCACTCTCCATCATGTGTGGCACTCGCAGAAAGGACTCCCTGATGCGTTTACACCAGACGAGAGTTTGAGACCCCTCATCCACAGCTATGCAAACTGGGGTGCTAAGCAGTGTTCACAGGCCAGCAAGAGCCACTTCTGGATGTCCACACGTCACAAAAGCGGAACACACACAAAGTTACTGCGAAGTTTGAGCAACGGAAGGACTAAGCGGCCACAGGAGTGTACCCCACATGAGAGACATGTTCCAGCAAATTTGTTACTTTGGCATTGTCAATTCCTTCCTGTGACAGCATACCAGCATTTCACGCTTTGAGCATCTGCTGTGATTTCGCAGAAAACCCTGGCGAACTGCTGTGTTCTTGTGATTCGTGGATTAGACACACAGGTTCTTGATAGAAACTTGGCTCTAAAGACCTGGCACTCACAGGTTCAAGGTTCATGTTCTTTTCCGTTTACCAGGGCAAAAAGAATTGGCAGCCCTACAGGATCTTGTTACATTTTTTGATCAGGTGTGAGGTGTCACAAGTGCATATAGTAGCAATATGTTGCAGTGACAAATGATGAATTTGCAACATTGTGCAACTGTGTCAGGACTTTCTCAACTTCAGAGTGATTTGCAAAATTTAAGCCACCAAACGGGGATGCTACTGGAAATCACAAGGCTCAAGAGCCTCTTCAGCAGACCAAGGATGGTGCTCACTTGAGTTTAAATCAACGATCAATCGCAACCAATCGCGTGGCCAGCTTGCTTCTGTGTCATTTCCATTCTATGGAGTATCCAGGGCAAGACAGTATGCCATTGTCGGTGCACAACAAAAAGTACTTCTGCTCAATCCGAAGGAGGCACACACAGATTGCCGAGGGCTGGAAAACCGACCAGCAACGACGGAATCCGTTGGCGAACGACGAAAGCCTGTGAAGGCTAGCGCT